TTCAATCTAGTAGTGAAACCCTGAACACCCTGTAGACCCTTCCCTAAAATACAAAAAAAGAAAGAAAGAAGGCAAGAAAGAAAGAAAGGAAGAAGGAGAAAGAAAGATTGATCAAATTATATATATAAAAAACAAAACTTCTGGTCTTTGTGTGTGTGTGTGTGTGTGTGTGTGTGTGTGTGTGTGTGTAGAAACAGGACTTGAACTCAGGCCCTTGTGCTTGCCAGGGAAGTGCTTATTCCACTGAGCCATCTCCCCAACACTAACTTCTGTTCTTTGAATAACAATGTCTTCTTGGTTGTAAAGACAGTGTTAAGGGAATAAAAAGAAAAGCCACATATAGAGAATATTTAATTGCAAAATAATCATTTGATAAGGAATTGTTCCAAGAAGTAGTAATAGCTGCACATGCCTGTAATCTCAGCAATCAAGAAGCTGAGGCTGGATGATTGATGACTCCAGTTTGAGGCCAGCCTGAACTACATAATGAAACTCTGGTTCAAAAAGATAAAAGAAAGGGGGGGGCAGCTAGATAGCTCTGCCGCTTAAAGCACCTGTAGCACCTGCTAAGCAGATGCAGGGACTGGGATTCTACCCTGCTGTGCTGTGCCGGCTGCATCCCCAGGCTATGCTGAGACTGTGATTGAGACTGGGTGTGGTGGCATGCACCTGTAAAATCCCAGCACTTGGGAGGCTGAAAACAGGAGGATCACTATGAGTCCGATCTGTGTAGTGAGACCCTGTGGACCCTGTACTTAAACAAATATATATATATATATATATATATATATATATATATATATATATATATATATATATGATTATATATATGATTAAAATTATATATATATATATATATGATTTAAAAAAAGAGGGGAGGTGGGCTGGGGAGCTAGCTTGGCAGTCCAAGCACTTTGGCAAGCACAAGGACCTGGGTTTGATCCCTGATACTGCATGCCATGCTGCCATTCCAGCCACCAATACTGGGTGTGGTGTGGGGAGGCTGAGATAAGATCATGAGTCTGAGCTGCACAGCAGGGCCCTGTACCAAATAAATTTATTTATTTATTTATTTTTGGTGGAACTAGGGATTGAACTCAGGCCCTTGCACTTGCTGGAGAAGTGCTTATTCCACTGAGCCATCTCCCCAGCCCTAAATAATTTTTAAAAAATGTATTTGGTTGTTATAGGGTCTCACTACACAGCTTGGATTCGCGGTTATCTTGTTTTTAGCCTCTCCAGTGCTGGGATTACAGGTGTGCACCACTGTGCCTAGACTCTGACTGGATCAGCCCACCGAGAGGGCGAGGCTGGTGCAGCATGTACTGCTGGGGATCAAACCTAAGCTTGCCTAAGCAGGCACTTTAGTCTGCTGAGCTATCTCGTTGGCCCCAATAAAATATTTTTTAAAAAAATTTTAAAAAAGAAAAGGAAAAAAATCAAGAGTTGTGTCCAGACTATATAAAGTTTTCTCTAACCCAGCAACAACATAGCTCAAAATAACATGTTGGAACTAGTGTACAAGTTTATCCTGGCCAAGGTAGCCAGATGCAGAGATTAAAGTCAAGACATAGCTAATTTTGAAAGCATTGGACTCTTGCTTTTTGAAGAGAAATCTCAAGTCTTCCAGATGCTCACAGGAGTAGCTTTCTCCTTTTGGCTAAACTTATTCTCCAGGCAATTCAGATAGGATTGGCTTTATTTTATAAAGATGAATCTATTTCTTTTACCTTTAATTCAGGGGATGTGACAAAAATTGCTGAGAAAGGTTCTTTCATTTGGCTTTAATTGATCACTGAGTATCCCCTCTCCAAGTTTTTACAAGCACTTGGTTTCCAGGTCAAATAGGTGGTCCTCCTAGGCCAGGAGCTGGCAGGATTCTCTTCCTGTACATTTGGATGGCCTGTAGTCCTGGGCCCAGATTAATGAGATATTGTAAGAGTCTTGTGGTCTCTGCATCTGTCATATGAGAGAATAGAAGTGCCCTTCTATATAACATCTCAATTGGGTTCAAATTTAGCCCAGTTTGGGACATGCCATAATTTCAAAAGCACTATTGGCAGCAATCTGAGTCAGTACTCAGACTTCACTTGGCAAGGTTTTGCCAGAGCTCAGTTTAGAGTCTGATTGGCTCTTTCTGTTTTTCTAGAAGATTGAGGCCCACTTCTCATGTAAGATTTTTATGGCTTGTCACTCTGTCCATTGAGGAAAGACCAGAATGGTTCCTCAGGAACTGAGAATAAAGTTAGGGTCTTGAGGGACTATAAGGCTATCCTTCGTGCTTCCCTATCAGCTTTGTGATTTCCTAAGGAGACTTCAGACATGCCTCTGGTGCCCTTTACCTTGCCTGACTTCAACCTGCTTGGGAAGATGGGCTTCCTCTAGGAGTTGTAGAGTTTCCTGTCTGTGCTTTATAGATGATTGAGAAGGCTGCTTTGGTTAAAGAGCTACATCTCTTTAGGGTTTTAGAGGGGCAGGTCTCTGATGTCCTGCTTGCTTGCACAGGTCTGCAGATCATGTGGTGAAGTCATTGAAATCTATGTAGTGGCAAAATCCAAGGGGTTTCCCATTGGCTCAGCTTGGAGCCTATATAGAGAGGGAGACAACCTCAGGTCTTGACTCCTTAAGATGGCATCCCATACAGAAGAAGGAGACTGAGGGATCTGCAAAGCATCCCTTTTAAAATCCTAACGCACAGACTGGAGAGGTGTCTCTGTCTGAGTGATGCTGGCATCCCAGAACAAAGTCCCCTGATGGCTTTTGTCTCCATATGTGGACCGGTTAACTCATTTGGGGAAGGGAGTGAACCCACTTGTTAGCATTATCTAGTCCTTTAGCTCCCATAAAGTAAGGGGAGAACCCCCAAGCAAAGTTTCCTTAGCCACATAGTTGAACCCCTGGAAGGTCCAATTTGAAATTTGAGTCCCCTGATGGCTCAGTTGGTATTTCTAGTCTCTTGAGTCTACTTAACCATTTGGGAAAATTGTCTCTTGCATTTACTCCAATAGTAAAAAACTAAGAATAGGGATGGCTCTACTTTTGTACACTTACATCCTCTTTGATTAAATTTTAAACACTCTTTTTTTCCTCAGGCTGCCAGGCATAGGGTTTTAATTTTCTGTACTTAAACAAGGAAGAAAGCTATAGCTCCTGGTGGAACTTAAAACAGGGAGGTAGTAGGTCAGCTAAAGCCAATTTGGACAGGTCCAACTGGCCATTTCTCTGTCCTGGCAAAAGACTAGAGCCCCCTTTTTTTTTTTTTTTTTTTTTTGTGGAACTGGGGATTGAACCCAGGCTCTTGCACTTGCCAGGGAAGCACTTATTCCACTGAGCCATCTCCCTGGCTAGCACCCTTTTTTTGTTGTTTGTTTGTTTGTTTGTTTAGTTTTCTTGAGACAGAATCTTGCTGTGTAAGATCCTGTGTTAAACTCACCAGGTAGCCCAGGCTGCCCTTAAACTCATGGTAATCCTCCTACCTTAGCCTCCGGAATACTGGAATCACAGGTCTTTGCCACTTTGCCCGGCTAGATGTTTTGTTATCATCAACAAAACTAGATTTTTTTTTTTATTTTTATTTTTATTTTATTTATTTTATTTATTTATTTATTTTAATTATTTATTTATTACATTTTTATTTAGTGTGTGTATGTGTGTGGCCAGCTCAGCCCACCAGGGGGCGGGGCTGGCTGGCATGTGGTGCTGGGGGATCGAACCGTGGTCCCTGTGCTTTGCCAAGCTTGTTCCAAGTAGGTGCTTTAGACCACTGAGCCATCTCTCCAGCCCTAGATTTTTTTTTTTAATTGTATTTGGTTGTTATATGGTCTCACTATACAACTCTTTTTTTTTTTTTTTTTGTATTCAATAAAGGGCCTATAGGGTCTCACTATATAGATTGGACTCATAGTGATTCTACTGTTTTCAGCCTCCCAAGCACTGTGATTACAGGTGTAAGCCACCACGCCCAGTCTCAATTGTAGTCTCCGTGTACCCTGGGGCAGGCCTGGCCCAGCACACTGGGGATCGAACCCTGGCCACTGTGCACTGCCTAAGCAGGCACTTTAGTCTGCTGAGCTATCTGGCCAGCCGGCAGCTCTTGCCACTATAGTGTTCCTCCTGTTTTCAGCCTCCCCAGTGCTGGGATTATAGGCATAAACCTACTACTACTGGACTCTGTGGCTGGCTCAGCCTGCCCAGTGGTCAGGGCTGGTGTGGCATGTGGTGCTGGGGGTTGAATGGTAGTCCCTGCACTTGCCTAAGCTTGTCTAAGCAGGTGCTTTAATTCACTGAGTTATCTTGCCAGCTCAACAAAACTAGATTTTGATGGTGGATATATACCATTAATATTTTATATGGGGCTGGAGAGATAGCTCGGTAGAATAAGCACTTGCCTGGCAAGCGCAAGGGCCTGAGTTTAATCCCTGGTTCCACCAAATAAATAAATAAATACATAATAAAAATAAATAAAATAAAATTTTTATAAAACATTTTATAAAATTTAAAAGCACCCACATTAAAATATGCAGGGAAAAGAAAAAATAGTTTTTCTGTGTGGGGCTGGAAGCCTCTGAATAGGACATACAAAGTTCTCTGCCTTGAAGGTTTATATGCTGTGACCCAGTTTGACTGCAGAAACAAACCTCAGTGCTAACCAGTGTAGTGTGGCTCTCTAATCAGCAGGGATTAGAGAGGGACACGTTTGCTTAGTATGTTGTATTAAAATTCTTGGCATGACAGGGTACTCTGAGGACTTCATGGAGATTTGCCCTGCTTTCTTCCTATAAGTCCTCCTAGTGATTTTGATAAAGTAATGTTCCAGGGCTTACTGATTAGGTCTGTCAGATACTGAGATCTCATCTGGTTCAGAGCACATTAGAATACAGATTTATTGGGTGAATTGGATAAAAACCCAAAGTATCACCTTGGTTAGGAGGGTATCTAGGAGAAAAATGCAGAACTTTCCAAATGACTACATTAAAATGTTTCTTTTCTTTCTCCTTTAGGCTATTGTTAAGAACAACCTTCCCTCTGAGACTGCTAGCAAGATCAACCTTGTAGACCTAGCAGGCAGGTAATTAAGATTTCAAAGCCAAGGAGGATAGCTTCCTTAACAGTGATCTTGTTTCTGCCTATATTACACAGAATAAGCTTGATCTACTCTTTTTTTTTTTTTTTTTTCGGAACCAGGGATTAAACTCAGGTATCTAGTCTTTTTTTTTTTGTTTGTCTGTTTCTTTCTTTCTTTACTTAATTTTTGGTACCTGGGATTGAATTCTCAGGCAGGTGCTTAAGCCTGCTGAGCTATTGGCTCTTGTTTGTTTTTAAACACTTTAGCTATCCTGAGAAAATTACAGAAGAAATTCTGCCAGACTAGTGGTGTGCTCTATAATTGCAGTACCTGAAGCCTAAAGCAGCCAAATTCCGAAGTCAAGGCCAGCCTGGGTTATAGAATAAATTCCAAGTTGGCATGAATTATATAGCCAAACCCTGTCTCAGGAAAACAAGCAAAAACAAATTGAGTGCTAGGTTAAGAGTTAGTATGTCAGTGACTGGAAGATCCTTTCTATCAGGATTTCTCAGTCTTAGCTGTTCATTAAAGTCTCTCGGGGGCCTTACAAAGTTTCTAATCTGTGGGCCTTAGATAAATCAGATTTTTAGTATGGGTGAGAGGAATGTGGATACTGATATTTGCGGTTGCTTTGAGACAGGGTCTCTCCATGCTGTTCAGGCTGGCCTTGAACTCACTGTGTATTCCAGGCTGGCCTCAAACTCCTGATTCAGCCTTCTGAGTGCTGGGATTACAGATGTATGCACCATCACACCCAGTATAGAGCTGAATTCTAAAATGAATTTATTACGTAGGCCTTTTACAACGTTGATACAATGCAGTAGATATCTTTTAAACAACATTGCAAAGGTAGTGCTCGTTTGCTCTTGTTTTTGTTTTTATTAATTGTGTTTTAGTGAAAGAGCAGATCCCAGTTACTGTAAGGACCGGATTACTGAAGGAGCCAATATCAACAAGTCCCTTGTGACTCTGGGAATTGTCATCTCCACTTTAGGTATTTTCTTACTGTGAGATTGATTGGGGTGGGAGGGAGACTTTGGAAAATAACTTGCATTATTTTCATTTCATTAGAGTGGGATAGATGCGAGGTTCTTTTTCTTTTCTTTTCTTTGTGAAACCAGGGATTGAACTCAGGCCCTTGTGCTTGCCAGAAAAGCGCTTATTCCATTGAACCATTTTCCCGGGGCCCTGCAAGGTTCTTTTTCGACAAGGTTACCTTTTGCGTTGAGGCATGAGAAACTGATATTTATCTGTGATTGACTGATAAGAGTACAGTGTGACTCTCATTCTGGCACTGTTTATTTCAAGGAGGGGACAACTAAAAAATGATGTCACTCATCATGCAAAGTGTGGTCCAGTGCTTGCATTTGAAGTGTCCTGTCACATGCAAAAAAGGATAAACTGTTAAGTTTGTGTCTTGCATCTATTGTTCTGTATTAATGCATTTGCTTTTTCCTTATTTTTATTTGGTTTTGAGTGTATTTGCTTCATAATTTCTTCCATTCTTATCTGTTAAGCCCAGAACTCCCAAGCATTCAGTAGCTGCCAGGGTTTCAGCGGTCCAGGCAGCAGCAGTTGTAGCGACAATGGGACTGCTGGTGCTCCTGAGACCAGCAGTGGCGGGGGACCCTCACGGAGGCAGTCTTACATCCCATACCGGGACTCTGTGCTGACCTGGCTACTGAAGGACAGCCTTGGAGGCAACTCGAAGACCATCATGGTTGCCAGTAAGTGGGCTCCTGGTGCTGCTTCAGGGTTGGGCAAGTATTCATCTTAGGAAAGAGCAATGTTTCTCATTTTCTTTAAGAGACTCAGCAGTGTGGGCAGTAGCAGCAAGGCAAGTGGTAGAGGGTGGGGCTAGGAGGGCCTGACATACTTTTCTAACTTCTTCAGCTGTGTCTCCTGCACACACCAGCTACAGTGAGACCATGAGCACACTGAGATATGCATCCAATGCCAAGAATATCATCAATAGGCCACGGGTCAATGAGGTGAGACCATTGGAAGATCTGGTTTGGTATACTTCACACAGTGTTGTTTTTTTCCTCTGGATTTTGTCTTTGTACTTGGCCTAACTTGCTAGACTTGTTTTCCAAGTGATGAGGAATTGAAAAATCTTTCTTCCAGTGCTGTTATATCCTTCTCCAATATCCCTGCTGATTGTAGTTAGTAATCTTCTACGAATAATTTATTGTAAGTATTTCTTTAAGGTCATTCTTTTTAAGATCCACAGTATATGAATGCCACACTAAGCAAGGTTCTTTAGAAGTTTTTATGTTTACAACTTTTATTTTCAATTGATGCTACATATGCCTTTTATTTTTCATTTTCCTATGTAAATTATGTAACTTCTCTTTTAAATTTATTTATTTTATTTTATTTTTTTTTTGGCAGAACCTGGGATTGAATTCAGGCCATTGCGCTTACCAGGGAAGCGCTTATTCCACTGAGCCATCTCCCCGGCCCCCTTTTAAATTTATTTTTTAAAATTTTTTTCTCTTGGGGACCGGGGAGATGGCTCAGTGGAATAAGCACTTTCCTGTCAAGCGCAAGGGCCTGAGTTCAATCCCCGGTTCTGCCAAAACAAAATTTTTTTCTCGTAAATTTAAAAGGGAAGAAATATAAGAAACATTGTCCTTTTTTTGAGTGAAATGAACAACAAGCAGTGACTAAGTTTAATTGAAAAAGTAGAAGTGAAGAGTGAGGGAGAGATTGGCTCTGTAGAGCAAGTATGGGTCAAATAAAAGGAAAAAAAAGCAATAAAAGGACACCTTGGAGAAAGTGGTATAGCATACTATAAAGAAAATCATGATAGCATTTTTTGGGGGGGGGCGGACAACACCACACTCTGCTTTTTTCTTATTTATTTTTTAATTAATTATTTTTTTAAAATTTAGTACAGGGTCTATAGGGTCTCACTATAAAGATAAGACTTGTAGTGATCCTCCTGTTTTCAGCCTTGCAAGCATTGGGACTATAGGTGCGTGCCACCACACTCAGTCTCATTCGCTGTCTCAGCATACCCCAGGGGTGGGGCTGGCCTGGCACACCGGGGGTTGAACCCCGGTCCCTGAACCTGCGTAAGCAGATGTTTTAGTCTGCCGAGCTATCTGGTTGGCCCTTTTTTTTCTTTTTAAACTAGAGAATTCCTTGTTTTTGACAGCTGGATAATAATGGAAATATTCTAAATGTTCTTTATCTCCTTAGTTCTAGCACAGGGGTCACAACTGATGACCACACATATATAACCCCTGAGGCAGGAGGATTACTAAAATTTGAGGTCAGCCTGGCCTACATAGTGAGTTCAGGGTCCACCTGAGCTACATTAGGAAGATCCTGTCTCTTTTTTTTTAAGATCCTGTCTCAAACTACCCCCCATATACACAGAAAGCAGCAATATAATTAGATAAATTTAGTCCTAATGCTGGAAGACTAGCACCTACTATGTATACATGTCCTGGCATTAATGCTAGCTTCCTAACCTCGTGCTCTAGAGTGATGATTCTCAGACTTCAGTGTGTATGCAAGAATCACCTGGAGAGTTCATTAAAACTCCATCCCTCTGGAATGGTTTATCTCTTAGGTCTTAGGTGGGGCCAAATGTAGAATTTGCATTTCTATAAATTTTCAAATGAAATTGATACTTCTTGTCCTGAATGGTACTTGGAGAACAAGTGCTGTAGAAGTTATTCTGAAGGAGTAATCCACCTCTTCCAAACTTATTGCATGTATCATTTCACAGCTGGTTGGGCTCTGATATCAATCCTCACTGAGTTCTCTGTGTTTCAGGATGCAAATGTGAAGCTCATCAGAGAACTCAGAGAAGAGATCAGGAGGCTGAAAGCCATGCTGCTGAGCTTTGAGCTGGTATATGGGCAACCAGAACTTTTCCATATTTAAAAGAAGTTTTCTTCCTGAGCTTTTTTTCTGCATAACATCTGGTCCAGCTGCACTCCCTGTTTCCAGTTGACACTCACGGAGCTAAGACAGAAGGGGGATTACTCTGCTATTTCTAGGTAGCCTCAAGCAGGTTTGGGCATCTTCTCATGGTCTTAGCTCTTGTCCAGAGGCCTCTTGTCTCAAAGGCCCTTGCTCTTTCCAGGCAACATGGGTAAGAAGGTGCTAGAGGAAAATTGCTTCAATTTTACTGTGTACTATTATGAGCCTAAAATACAGTAGTTAAGCTGACTTATTTTTTACTTTAATCGTAAAGTCTCTATCCTTTATTCTCCTTCACAAATGTAAGGGTATGACCTCCCTCCAGTTCATACCAGGAAGACATCACAGCACATCTTTCCATTTCTTTAGAGAAACTTAAGTTCCTTAAGTGCTGAGGATGAAGATCTCAGGGAACTTGTTCTCCAGAGTGAATTGAAGGTAGGTATGTTGGGTGGACTAGGTATGCTTTATTTTACCTTGGAAATAGGTTTGCTATCCCTCCATTTGTTTTTCCTGGGCTAGGGTTTCTCCTCATTAGGGAAGTGAGATCTCATTGTGCATAAAGTTTCATACAGCCTTAATTCTGATAGATTTTTGTCAGTGCCTTGTGCATCTTTGAGCCATCAGTGAACTTGTAACTCAAGGAGCTACATGTTGGGAGCAGAGTGTTAGGTCATACAGAGAATCTTAGATATGGCCATGTAGAAGCAAAATGGGGTAAGAAAATTATAAAAGTAGATGTCTGTGTAACAAACCAATTAATTTTTTAAAAATGAATAACATTTTTTTCTAGTTAGAATTTGTGCTTCTTGTAGAAAACTTTAAAAAATAACACTTATTAAAGAATCTTAACATTTGCTTTTTCAAGCAGACTTTAAAAACAGAGTTGGCAATTGCAGGAGATGTGAAAGACTCTGTGAGACTTTGAATAGTAATGGCAGGAATCATGAGAAAGTAATACTCTGGGGACACAGGTTGCAGTGATCGCTGTGCTCACATCTTGTCCACCCACTGAGTGTCTCGATCATCTCCTGTTTCTCTGCAGATGGACAAGCTGACCAAAGACTGGACCCAAAAGTGGCATGATTGGCAGGCCCTTGTGGAACATTACAGTGTGGACATCAGCAGGAGGAGGGCTGGGGTGGTCATTGATTCCAGCCTGCCACACCTGATGGCCTTGGAGGATGATGTGCTCAGCACGGGTGTTGTACTCTATCATCTCAAGGTGAGGAGGGAGTTGCTCCTCCTTTCTTTCTGAGCCACATTTGTATAAACTGAGACAGATCCACAGAGCTGCCTTCAGGGTCCTCTCAGGAACCCCAACTCACCAGCTGTGATCTTTTCTGATTTTGTATAAATGGAATAGAGGACTGGAAATAACAATCATTTATTTTTCACCAGTACTATTGATTTTTACTAATTTTCTGCTGCTCTCTGTGCTCTAATTTCCTATTTTAAACTAAGATTGATCCTTTTTATATTACTTTTTTGGTTTCTGAAGCACAGAGGTACAAGCTTAATGTAATCCTAATGTCAAAAGTATTGTCAGTGTAAGTCAGGTACAGTGACATGTGCTTATAGTCCCTGCTACATGGGAGGCAAAGGCAGGAGGATCACTTGAACCCAGAAGTTCAAGGCCAGCCTACATAAGACCTTATTATAGGAGAAAACCAAATACCAAAATCTTAGTCTTCCTAAACCCTACATATATAGGTTGCTCAAATATGGGGAAATTCAGAAGACTTGAAAAATTTCTTCAACCCCCAAATCAAAAAAATATGTACCTCCCAATTCTTCATCTGGAAAAGAAGAGGGAAGAGAGAAAAATAGACATATTTAATGTTTGAGCTTAAAGCATGAAAGAGGGTCCAAAGAGCTGGGGCAGGATGATGACATGCACCCTTCTGGAAGAAATATGATGATGAGGTTAAGATGCTTCAAACAAGAACAGCTCATCCGGTTTTTCTCACCTGTAGGTGTTTTTGTTGTTGTTGCTGCTTTGCTTTGTTTTATTTTTATTTGAGATAGGGTCTTGCTATGTAGTTGAGGCTGCTCTTGAACTCGCTATAATGTCCAGACTGGCCTCAATGTCTAAGCAGTCCTTGTACCTCAGCATCCTGAGTGTTGGGATTACAGGTGTGTATAACCACAGCTGTTTTAGATCATCATTTCATAAAGAAGTAAAGACCGTGGTAGGTAGTCTAATGCCCTATTCTCATCAGACATGTCCTGTGGAAAGACAAGATGGTAGAACATATCCCAGGCTCACTGAAAGTCCAGTTTCCATTCATAATTATCCCTAGATATTTAAAAAGACCAAAGAAAGGGCTGGGGACATAGCTCAGCAGCATAAGCGCCTGCCTAGCAAGTGCAAGGTCCTGAGATTGATACCCAGTACAAAAAAAAAAAAAAAAAAAGTTGGTGGCAGATGTGTAAGGCTGCCATTATCCCTGGGGAAAGGAGGCTTCTGGGGTGGTACATGCAGAAGGGAGACTTTAGCAAAGCTCGTCTTTGTCCTCGGGATGAACCCTTGGGAAGATTGTCAGAAGCTGAACATCTTAGTCAAAGTTAAAGTAGCTTATTTTCTGGCACACTGGGCATAGATTGTCTGAATGAAATGCCTCAGGCTGTCTACCTTAACAGCAAATCTAAACAGTGAAGGCAGTAATCCTCCCATTAGGATCACAAGGACCTTGGAAAGAGGTTGGGGATCAGGAGACCAGGTGGAGTAGAATGGTAGGCTCATATGACCTATCACTTGGATGTGGAGTGAGCAGAGGAAGTTGGATGTTAAGTAGGAAGGTGTAGGGAGTGACAAAGGGTTAAAAGCTGTGCTTTCTAGATTAAGATTGAGACCTGGAGAGGAGTGAGGATGCCATCTGAGCATAGGGTTGCTTATTTTCATTTAGATAGCATATAGAGAAGTTTTAATTCCTTCCTAGTACATTTCCAGTGGGTCTTTATGAGGTAATTTTAGTTTGGTTTTAATTCTGGCATGTGTCTATATTTTTTTGTACCCATATATTTTCCTTTTTTGTTTAAATCCTGGTTGAGGTAACAGTATAATAGGAATGGCCCAAGAGTCTCTGTTTTTACTTACTTTTCTTTCATGTTCACTGTCTCAGTTATGTTTCTTCTGTTGCTGGGACAAAATACCAACACCCAAAATGAAGAAAGTAAAGATTTATTTAACTTACCATTTGTGAAGCTTTCAGTATATACTTGGCTGCCTCCCAGACAGTGTGGCACATGGCACAGAGCAGCAGTTCTTGGCAGCAGAAAACAAGAATAAAGGGAAGGGCAGCAGCTGTGGCTTCTAGCCAGCCTCTCTCCCCTCCTTATATTATACACAAGCTACTCTGGGGTAGGGGTATAGAACTCACACCCTGTCCAGGCCCTCCTCTTGTGCAGGATAAGGATGTTTACGAACTAAGAATCCTGACTCTCTGCTGAGTCACTTAATTAAGCTTCTATACTGCTCAAGTTGACACAATGTATCTACTAGTACAATCCACCCCTTGTCAACTTGGCAACCAGAGATTTCCTTAAACCAGGTACATAGACATGCTTATTAATATTTTACAACTTGAGCCTTGTATTACATTAGAACCATGACGTTTTGCCTTTGGGCATCCCCACTAAAGACTCATGCACATCCCTGTATGCAAAAGACATTTTAGTCCATCTCTAAAAGTTGCCAAAGTCCTCACAGTGTCAATACTGCTGAAAAGTTCAAGTCCCAAGTGGCCTCCATAGGGGTGGGGGCACCTGCCTGTTAGCTCAGTTGTTTAAGTGCCTGCTTAAGTGAAGGCAGTCAGCCTCAGGATACCTGCCCTTAAGGCATCCTGAGCCAGTCCAAAAAAAAAAAAAAAAATCCTTCCAAGTCTCCTCCAAGATCTAAGGCAAACTCTTAGCTGTGAGCTCATGTAGAAATGACAAGTTAAACACTTCCAACATTCAGTGACAGAAGAAAAACATTACTATTCCACAAAGTACAAGCAGCAGGCAAATCACTGGGACCACAGCAAGTCCAAAATCTAAAAGGGCAAACTTAAGTCCTGTAGTTCCATGTGGAACATCCAAAGCAACCTGTAATGAGTTGTGAACTCCAAAAGCCTTACATGGCTCCACCCCTATGGCACTTCTGCTGGTAGCTCCCATGGCTTCTCTCTCAGGCCTGCTTTGCTCCCCTCCCCTCCCCTTTTTTTTTTTTTTTTTTGCAGCTTTCCTTAGACAATCCACATTTCCTGGCTTTTTCAAATTTCGGAGGTTTCCATTGAATAGGCTTCTCATAACTTTATGCACTGCCCTCTCAGGGGCACACTGTATGGCCTCCCAGGCCTTCTGAAATCTAGGTGGAAGCCTTCTCAGAACTCCTGCATTCTAAATGTGCCTAAAATGTGGATGGTGCCAACATCTGCTGCCAGCTGGAGTAGTAGCCAGGCTTTCTTCTCTCTTGGCTATAGGAGTCGAGTACCTGGATTGCTGAGCACTCTGACCCTGATTCTGAGGAACAAATTCTCTATGCTGGTGCCATTGTGGAATCTGGTGTGGCTGCCACCCTCATTCTGGAACATGGGGCTCTGCAGCTTTCTCTTTGAAGCAAAGTCCCTCACCTTGTGATTCTGAGGCTGCAAAGGGTGAGAACCTGTTACCTCCTGTAATGTCTTCAGGATATCCTGTTCCTCTTGGGCAATGGAGATCTCAGCTCTATCTTTGTAGTCTACAGCCTTCCCGGCTTTTTTTTGGCCAAACTCACATTTTAAATCATCCTGCTGGGCTCTTTGCTCTTGACTGTCAACATAAATCTGACTGAATGCCCCCTGTAGTAGCTATGCCACTCACTGCTTCAACATTCGACTCCCTTGGGAAGTCAAGGGAACATTCAATTTCTTTTGCAAAATTAGCTAGTCCACTGTTCTTAATCTCAGTCTCAGGCAAAGTCTCTGGACAGGAGCAAAATGCAGGCAGACTTTCTGCCAAGCCATAACACAAATCATCCTCAGTCAAGCAACCAATGTAGTCCTTCTTCCCAGCAGAAACCTCCCCAGCCTGATCTTTACAGGCAGGTTTTCTATCAGAATTCTGGTCTTCTGAGCTCTGACTAAAATTCCCATTCACAAGAGCTAAAGGCATTAGAGCTCTTTGCTAGTAGGGAACATCTCCCAACCTTTCCTATCTCTTCCATAAACCATTCCTGAAAGCTCTTGAACAAAATGGTCCGATAGTCACAGCAATGACCCAACTCCTCGTACCAAATTCTGTCTCAGTAACTTTTCAGCTGTTGCTGGGACAAAATACTGACACCCAAAATGAAGAAAGCAAAATTTTAACTTGTAGTTTCTGAAGGTTTCAGTATATACTTGGCTGGCTCCCAGACAGAGTGGCACATGGCACAGAGTAGCAGTTCATGGCAGCAAAAAACAGCAAACAAAGGGAAGGGCAGCAGCTGTGACTTCTAGCCAGCCTCTCTCCCCTCTTTATATTATACACAAGCTACCCTGGGATGAGGGTGTAGAACTCACACACTGTCCAGGCCCTCCTCTTGTGCAGGATAAGGATGTTTACAAACTAAGAATCCTGGCTCTCTGCTCACTTAATTAAGCTTCTAAGCTTCTCAAATTGACACAGTATATCAACCAGTACAGTCACTGACCTGGAACTGGTCCCTGTTCATACAGTAGACACAGTTTTTCCTCAGGTCACCTTGGGAAGCTCTGGAGGGACAGAAACAACAATGGGAAGAGAACCAGGTGCTGTCATCCTTGTAATCTTCTTTGTATCACTGCTGATTCCCTGCAGAAAAAAGGAAGAGGAGCAGTTATCACAGAAGCCAACTCCATTCTTTTTTATCTGAGATGTTATCACCTTTTTTGGTTATTTTCTGCCCTATACATCTAGATAAGAGTGATGTGCTATGGCCATTATCCTTTCAGGAGGGTTGCTCCATTGTTAGGCTGTTGCTGAATCCACATGAAGGGTTTCTTCACCCTCCTTGCCTTGAACTGGCCCACACTGGCATCCATTGCTCCTTTCCAGGCCAGGTTAGAAAGATGGACTAAGTGTATGTTAGGAGGAGAAGCAGAGGGGTACAGAAAGGTCAGGGCTTCACACCTTCAGGGTTCTTTTATGTCACAGCCTAGTTAGAGATAGCTGCAGGGACCTCTCTGCTGCTGATGGTGAAGCCTAGTAGAGAACTCTGGTTACTTTGAAAACAGGATGCTGGGCAGGAGGCTGAAAAGGCCTGTACTTAGGATCCAGAGGGACCTAGTCTAGTCACAGCATTCCTGCTTAGTATATGGGTTTCTTGGGCAGTTTTTTTTTTAACCCCTAAAAGCTTCAAAGTCATTGTCTGTAAGGAGAGAATAGTGCATACATCTTAGAACTGGGCGTGGTGGCATAGACCTATAATCTCAGCACTTGGGAGGCTGAGGTGGGGGGTTTGACAAGAGTTCAAGGCCAGCCTGAAGTACATAATGAGACCCTGTCTCAAAAATCAAAACAAAGAAGCCCATACATTTTAAGTTGTTAAAAAATAGTGTTTATAAAGTACCCAGTTTAATGCCTGGGACATATTGAATGTTATTCAGCAGGTGATAAATTATATCTGAAATTTGTCATTTCTGTTGGTGTGTTGCTATCTTCCCCCAAAAAGCCATGTGGTTTTCAGCAGATTTGCCATAGACCAAGGACCAAAAGACCTTGTCTGCTACTGTGATTCATTTATAGTATTAAATCCAGTTTCTGCTGCTCTCATAGTCTCCCAGTTCTCTTTGATTCTAAAAATGCTTTTCTCCTATTTGTACATTATCCTTCTTAGAATCTGGTGTCTGTTAAACTTTATTCACTGACAAAGAAGGTAACAACACTGTGTTTTCATAAATCTTCATAAAAATCTCATGTC